CTAACAATTTAACTAAGAGGAGCGGCAACAGGAGAGAGTGCTTGCTTGCTCACACACTTGGTACAGCAACTGCTTGCTTGCCCACACACTTGGTAGAGCAACTGCTTGCTTGCTCACACACTTGGTACAGCAACTGCTTGCTTGTTTATATATAGTGTTATATATTTTAAGAAGTGTGTGGACGGAGCCAATAGGACGGTCATCACCGTGAAACAGTTTCTCACTCGGACTTGGCTTAGTTTATGCTAATTATGTTTACTTTAGAATAAAGATAACCTATCACCCCCCTCCAATGTCATTCACCTTCAGCTAACTAATCACAAGTGTGCGAATGGCGTTTGTTATCATAGATTACAGTAATTTACCCACACACTCGACCGCCACAAACTCGCCTATAGCCTCTCCTCTCGAAATAGTACATGGTACTCTGACGGATAAGTCCCATCAGGCCAAGAACTATGTACTGAAAATCACAGCGGCTCGCAAAATTGCAACCCGTTCTCGCAAATTTAATAAGTCAATATTGACTTATTAATTATGTGCATAGGTGACATACTTAACATAATAGATACCCTTAAAAAGATTCATAGAAAACACCGACCTTACCTAACCTTGTTAGTATCTTAAGATAATCATCTTATTGCTTCGTAATTACAATTATTACCTAACCTATAATAGGTATAGGTTAAGTAATAATTGTAATTACGAAGCAATAAGATGCTTATCTTAAGATACTAACAAGGTTAGGTAAGGTCGGTGTTTTCTATGAATCTTTTTAAGGGTATCTATTATGTTAAGTATATCACCTATGCACGTAGTTAATAAGTCAATATTGACTTTACGAATTTGCGAGAACGGGTTGCAAAATTGACGTGTTGTCCCGTTTTCTGTTTGTGGGTCCTCGGTTAGGATAGGTTCTAAGCAATTTAGTACATCAGTTTAGTGACGTTGTGAACATTGGAGAGGACGGGCTGTACCACCACACTAATTTCTACCACATGACCATCACGCCCCACCACACACCACTGCCACCACCACACCCCACTTCAAACACACACCGCCTTGCTCTCTATTAGCTCCCCCCCCCCTCCACCCCCCCGCGCTAGTTACCGGTTGGTGTTCTCCATCTCTGTTCTTGCTCGGAGAACAGTCGCTTTCTCCATCACCGTGTTATTGAGAACACCCCGACTGCTTTTGTTTTTCTCGTTTCTCACTGTGATCTTGGCTGCTGATTTGTGTACATCCCCGTGGCTAGAGATGAGGCACAGCCCCGCTCCTGTGCCAGGTAAGTCTACTACGGGCTCACCATAGCCCGTGCTACTTGGAAATTTTGTTCCCAGTAGCTGAATCTTAAACAACAATAATAGAGATGAGGTATTAAGCCTATGATCTTTAATTCGAAGGAAGAATAGGGTGAATCCTGGTGATATTAACACGTAGGCCTATTGTAAAAGTATATTTGTTGGGTAAATTAACAAGAAACATCCACATAGTGAAGGCAGACGAATGTTTAGCCAACTAGAAAAGCCATTACACACAGAGATCTCACTAACGTGATGCATCAAATGAACAAATCCACAAGGGCCGTGACGAGGATTCGAACCTGCGTCCGGGAGCATCCCAGACGCTGCCTTAATCGACTGAGCTACCCTGTCGTAACTCAGTCGTAGCTCAGTCGATTAAGGCAGCGTCTGGGATGCTCCCGGACGCAGGTTCGAATCCTCGTCACGGCCCTTGTGGATTTGTTCTTTAGAAAAGTCATGCAAGTAGTGACCTCTGAGCCACAAGAGCGAGGCGGTCACGGTAAGGGGGCAACAAATATGCTCTAAAGCCTCGCACCGCTGTGCCACAACGCCTCGTTACTTCTGACCTAGACCATTACGGTGACCTTAAACGGCGCTTCCAAGTCAAACACTGCTTGATCTTGGAACACCTTGGGGTCGGCGGTATTTAAGAACGGCTTGACACACTGAAGGTGACGGGAGACATCTCCCGTCACGCAGGGTGCAGTTGCATTTCCACACATCTCCAGTATCAGCTCTTGATACTGGTAATGGCTCAAAAGGGCCACCACTTACGGGCTATTCATGCCCGTGCTACCTTTTGGGTGGCCTAATCATCATCAATCAATCAATCATCACTTGAGGCGCGGGAGCCCCGCTCCTGTGCCAGGTAAGTCCACTACGGGCTCACCATAGCCCGTGCTACTTGCCCCGCTCCTGTGCCAGGTAAGTCCACTACGGGCTCACCATAGCCCGTGCTACTTGCCCCGCTCCTGTGCCAGGTAAGTCCACTACGGGCTCACCATAGCCCGTGCTACTTGCCCCGCTCCTGTGCCAGGTAAGTCCACTACGGGCTCACCATAGCCCGTGCTGCTTGCCCCGCTCCTGTGCCAGGTAAGTCCACTACGGGCTCACCATAGCCCGTGCTACTTGCCCCGCTCCTGTGCCAGGTAAGTCCACTACGGGCTCACCATAGCCCGTGCTACTTGCACCGCTCCTGTGCCAGGTAAGTCCACTACGGGCTCACCATAGCCCGTGCTACTTGCAACTTGTTTCGAGTAGCTGAATCTATAACAACACCAACACTACTTAAGACACGGCTGGGGGTGGAGCTCCTAATGGGAGGGGGTCGTTTGGGAGGTAATAGATATTGTTCATGGACTTTGCTGTTAAGGATATATTGGTGTGACGTTGTCTGTAGCGGCGTGTTGGTGAGAGGGCATTTGAGGTCATCAGGATCACAGGCCTTGTTAGGAGAGTATTGTTTCAAGACAGAAACGTGGTGGTGGTCGTACAAACGCATGTGTAATGCTTGCCCTTATTCATCTATCATTGTGAGTGAAGACAATAGCCTCTCCTGCAAGCAACGTGACCCTGGAGCCCTCGCTTGGGACCCCTGGAGCCCTCGCTTGGGATCCCTGGAGCCCTCGCTTGGGATACCTGGAGCCCTCGCTTGGGATCCCTGGAGCCAACAGTTCATCTCAAGCCACTTATTATATTTGACAAACCATCACCAGCTTTGTTATACTTTAAATGAACAAATCCACAAGGGCCGTGACGAGGATTCGAACCTGCGTCCGGGAGCATCCCAGACAAATCCCTTGTGGATTTGTCCATTTGATGCATCACGTTATTGTGATCTGTGTTTGTTATACTTTGTTATCTGCTAGAATTTACTTACTTAAAATTATCTGTTAGATTAAGGACCTGCCCGAAACGCTGCGCGTTCTAGTGGCTTTACAAGATTGTAAATACTATGCTATGTATTCTCACCAATCCAATGTGCCTTCTTGTATATAAATAAAATAAATACGGGCTCACCATAGCCCATGCTACATGGACACTTCGTTCTGAGTAGCTGAATTTAAACCACCACCAACATATAAATGTTGTAGCCTAGCCGCCGCCGCCGCGCCATGTCTGCAAATATTAGGTTAGGAGTATTACCGAGCAAAGTATTCACTACATTGGAGTATGTTGCGCTTGAGTCAATGATCGCAAAAAGCCATTCGTAAACATCTTGGAAAAATATTCATAACATTCTCAATAAGACAAAGGGGGGTAGCCTGTGTTTAAACAAATTACTCCCATTGTTTTCCATCTCTTTCAAGGAGTTGATAGGTGTAGTGGAAAAGATTGCGACAATATTTATCTTGACTTAAGATTGACACTGTGCTTCATCAGACACTCTAGGAAAGTAGAGATGCAATGGTATCGGAGAGGGAGGATGTTTTGTTAGTGTTGCTACCAGAGGCTGCTAGTTGGTTGTTCACCCTATACTCATCTTGTGAGCCGTAGCGCAAAAAGGATTATAGAGGGCACATAATATCTTTATCAGACCTCTATTACCTCTATCCTGCACTCATTATAATAATGTCGGCTAGTTAGCTATTGAAATGTAACATTATCTATGTATTTACAGTTAACCATTATACATTAATGGTAGCTGGTCTTTTCGCTAATACACAATTTTCTTGAGCTATGGAAATATTAGAGGGTCATGAGTAATCCTTAAGTTGGATTGGCGCAGGATTTCAATGGAAACTGGGAGGGAGGGAGGGGAACTATGAAGGGAAAGCGCCAAGCCATTACGACCGTATATCACTTGGAAGGGATCAGGATAAGGATTTGGGATCTGACAATGTTATAGATTTAGCTACTCAGAACGAAGTGTCCATGTAGCACGGGCTATGGTGAGCCCGTAAGATCTGACAATGAAACTGGGGTGTTGCCATAAATAGTTAAAATGAAGTGATAATTAACCATTGAAAATAATGGGCTCTGACATGGGATTTTTGTTATATAATTTTACATATAAATATATATAATGTATATAAAAGTTAATTCCACTAGCTACTAGAGCTCATCTAATGTGAAGGGCCTGACAGAGGAGGTTAGATTTAATGTCAATGTTTACAGAGAATGCAGAACTAACGTGAAGAACGTTGGGAAGGCGGGGGCCAAGAGCGGAGCTCGTTCCCACAAATGTAGGCGAGTACATTCCTGCTTCATCTCATTACCAACCGATTCTGACACAAGACTTGGAGAGTTAACTGTGCCTCTTCGTGATTCTTCAAGTATGTGGTGTCTTCGTGGTCTGTGCTTGGAGAAAACATTTTTTTGTTAAGCCCGTGTTCGTAGTCTTACGCACAACGAGAGCACTGGGAGAGCACCAGCGAGAGCACCGGTAGAGCACCGGCTAGAGCACCGGGAGAGCACCGCGAGAGCACTGGCAGAGCCCCGTGAGAGCCCCGGCAGAGCCCCGGGAGAGGAACACGGAACTGTGGCAGCAATGAGCAGTCATTACGGCAGCGTTGTCGAGCTCTTAATGGCTCTTAACCGCCAGGAGGAGTTAGTCCCGCGGGGTGACCCATGTGGGAAGGTATTATCCAGAGGTTGTTATTATTAAAGATTCGCTACCTGGAACAAAGTTCCCAGTAGCACGGGCTATGGTGAGCCCGTAGATATACAGAGGTTTACGCTCAAAGTTAGCGAGCAATGAGGTCGCGAGGTTGGTCCAAAGGTGCGGGCTACGAGGGTGGGTCCAAAGGTGCGGGCTACGAGGGTGGGTCCAAAGGTGCGGGCTATGAGGATGGGTCCAAAGGTGCGGGCTATGAGGGTGGGTCCAAAGGTGCGGGCTATGAGGGTGGGTCCAAAGGTGCGGGCTACGAGGGTGGGTCCAAAGGTGCGGGCTACGAGGGTGGGTCCAAAGGTGCGGGCTACGAGGGTGGGTCCAAAGGTGCGGGCTACGGGGGTGGGTCCAAAGGTGCGGGCTATGAGGGTGGGTCCAAAGGTGCGGGCTACGAGGGTGGGTCCAAAGGTGCGGGCTACGAGGGTGGGTCCAAAGGTGCGGGCTACGAGGGTGGGTCCAAAGGTGCGGGCTACGAGGGTGGGTCCAAAGGTGCGGGCTACGGGGGTGGGTCCAAAGGTGCGGGCTACGAGGGTGGGTCCAAAGGTGCGGGCTACGAGGGTGGGTCCAAAGGTGCGGGCTACGAGGGTGGGTCCAAAGGTGCGGGCTACGAGGGTGGGTCCAAAGGTGCGGGCTACGGGGGTGGGTCCACGGTAAAAGCTTCTCTACATGTTCTTAACGTGTTGTGACGTTTCGCTGTAGGTATGAGTGGATGGGCGTGAATAAATATCATGCTGGACTTCAGTCACAGTTATCGCCACCAAATACAGGACAGAAACGTTGGGCACGTTTTCTTTCACCTGATGCCGCTGTTCACTTAGCTGGTAAATAGGTACCCCGGGAGTTTGATAGCTTTTGTGGGTTGCATCTTGGGGGGAAAAGTGTGTAGCTGGCCTAGGAGGTGGGAGGGGGGGGGGGGGGAGAGAGAGAAGCCTAAGTTGAGCCTGGCCTCGGGCCGGGCTTGGGGAGTAGAACAACTCCCAAAACTCCATCAAGCAGGTATCAACCAGGTACAGCTTTCTTGCAAGACGAGAGACTAGAACAGCAGCCACAGCAGCAGCCGCAGCAGCAGCCGCAGCAGCAGCCGCAGCAGCAGCCGCAGCAGCCACAGCAGCAGCCGCATCAGCCACAGCAGCAGCCGCATCAGCCACAGCAGCAGCCGCAGCAGCCACAGCAGCAGCCGCAGCAGCCACAGCAGCAGCCGCAGCAGCCGCAGCAGCAGCCGCAGCAGCCACAGCAGCAGCCGCAGCAGCCACAGCAGCCACAGCAGCCGCAGCAGCCACAGCAGCATCATGAGAGACCATTAGGCTACATTATATGTTAGCGGTTCCAAAGATTATAGAGAGCAGTGAGTCGTGAGAGTTAACTGTGCATCTTCGTGATTCTTCAAGTATGTGGTTTCTTCGTAGTCTGTACTTGGAGAAGAAATTTATTTTGTTGAGCCCGTGTTCGTAGTCTTTGGTAATGAATGTGTGTTACAGTGTAGTGTGCGCAGTGGTGAAGCGCATCTGATGTCCTGTAGAAAAGTCGACTTTGTTCCTGTTGTTTGGTAATAGTAATTCCTCTATGATACCTGGTGTGTTCTTTCCTGGGCTGGCGAGGAGTCACAATAACGCGGCTAAAGTATGTTTGACCACACCACACACTAGAAGTTGAAGGGACGACGACGTTTCGGTCCGTCCTGGACCATTCTCAAGTCGAAACGTCGTCGTCCCTTCACCTTCTAGTGTGTGGTCTGGTCAACAATGTTCTTTCCGTTGTTCGTGCCTACATGTTAATTTAGGGGGATTCATTTAATTTCGTGTAGAAGTTGGTTTGCTGATGGATTTTTGACGGATTGAAATACAACCCAACACAATCCAGCCTATCCCAAGCGAATTCAACCCAACCTACAGACGTATTTCCTCGTAACATGAGGACACGAAGCCTACTCTGCTAACAATTAGAGGAGGAACTATGAGGCACACGAGAGTTAGTGAGTTCCTCCGTTTTCCAGTTTTTGCACTGGAGATGTGGCGAGGGGAGCCGGTCGGCCGAGCGGACAGCACGCTGGACTTGTGATCCTGTGGTCCTGGGTTCGATGCCAGGCGCCGGCGAGAAACAATGGGCAGAGTTTCTGTCATCCTATGCCCCTGTTACCTAGCAGTAAAATAGGAACCTGGGTGTTAGTCAGCTGTCACGGGCTGCTTCCTGGGGTGGAGGCCTGGTCGAGGACCGGGCCGCGGGGACACTAAAGCCCCAAAATCATCTCAAGATAACTATTATTACCTGGGCAACCTTCCACTGGTATCTCCAACATTCTCATCCTCTCACTTTACTTTCAAACTTCTCTAGTATCTCCTCCTCCCCTCCCCTCCCCCCCTCTCATATCACACGTAGAGCTTGCCAAAAAATAAGTCGTAGGGGAGAAAGGAGAGGCGGTTGGTGTCCGGTTTGTAGGGCGTACCCGTGTGTGTGTAGGTGTGGGTACCTGTGTGGGTGTAGGTGTGTAGGTGTGGGTACCTGTGTGCGTGTGGGTGTAGGTGGTGGTACCTGTGTGGGTGTAGGTGTGTAGGTGTGGGGTACCTGTGTGCGTGTGGGTGTAGGTGTGGGTACCTGTGTGGGTGTAGGTGTGTAGGTGGTGGTACCTGTGTGGGTGTGGGTGTAGGTGGTGGTACCTGTGTGGGTGTAGGTGTGTAGGTGTGGGGTACCTGTGTGGGTGTAGGTGTGTAGGTGTGGGTACCTGTGTGCGTGTGGGTGTAGGTGGTGGTACCTGTGTGGGTGTAGGTGTGTAGGTGTGGGGTACCTGTGTGGGTGTAGGTGTGTAGGTGTGGGTACCTGTGTGGGTGTAGGTGGTGGTAACTGTGTGGGTGTAGGTGGTGGTACCTGTGTGGGTGTTGGTGTGGGTACCTGTGTGGGTGTTGGTGAGGGTACCAGTGTGGGTGTAGGTGGTGGTACCTGTGTGGGTGTGGTACCTGTGTACCTGCGCTCGTGGGAGAGAGACGGGCCGCACTGGGGCCAGGGGGACCCTTACAACACTGAAATTGTACAAAGTTTATTGAGGTAAAATACACACAAAGGGATGAGGTAGCTCAAGCTATTCTCACCCCGTTCAGAACAACGTGTTCATACATATATACACATACATGACAAAACAATAAACATATTACCAAACATTCTGAATGACCTGGTTTGGTCCCTGCCCCTCCCCCCCCCCTGCCGGTAGTAGGCTGATTTGTGTATACGTTTAAAGTGCCCATGTCACTGATAGTACGACTTAATCTCAAATGCTGTTACCCGGACCGCTAGGCACGGCACCTAGCCTGGCCCCCTAGGCACGGCACCTAGCCTGGCCCCTCCTAGGTACGGCACCTAGCCTGGCCCCCTAGGCACGGCACCTAGCCTGGCCCCCCTAGGCACGGCACCTAGCCTGGCCCCCCTAGGCACGGCACCTAGCCTGGCCCCCCTAGGTACGGCACCTAGCCTGGCCCCCCTAGGTACGGCACCTAGCCTGGCCCCCCTAGGTACGGCACCTAGCCTGGCCCGCTAGGCACGGCACCTAGCCTGGCCCCCCTAGGCACGGCACCTAGCCTGGCCCCCCTAGGCACGGCACCTAGCCTGGCCCCCCTAGGCACGGCACCTAGCCTGGCCCCCCTAGGCACGGCACCTAGCCTGGCCCCCCTAGGTACGGCACCTAGCCTGGCCCCCCTAGGTACGGCACCTAGCCTGGCCCCCCTAGGTACGGCACCTAGCCTGGCCCGCTAGGCACGGCACCTAGCCTGGCCCCCCTAGGCACGGCACCTAGCCTGGCCCCCCTAGGCACGGCACCTAGCCTGGCCCCCCTAGGCACGGCACCTAGCCTGGCCCCCCTAGGCACGGCACCTAGCCTGGCGCCCTCCAGGCACGGCACCTAGCCTGCCCCCCCTAGGCGCGGCACCTAGCCTGGCCCCCACTAGTAGGGTACACCACACTCCCCTGGGAGCCAGCACCCTGTATATCCCCCAGGGTCGCTCACCCTAGGGTGGTGATGCACAGTAAATGAGAAGTGATTCTTTCATGTGGGATGCTTTGTGTAGCGATGTAGCCTTCATGCTGGGCTTGTAGTGTGTTGTTGTTGGGTATAATATGTTTTAGATATATTGTAGGTATTATGAACTTTGTTGCTAATTACCATACTGTGTGTGTGTGTCTCTAGTCAGAGGGATAGAAGTCCTAAACAAGGAAATAATTAATACAGAATATGCAGTCATATTCAATGAAACTTGTGTATATATATGTATATATATGCACAAGGTCTTCTGAGTACTCCTTATTTTCTTCTCCAAGGCTATGGGTCCCTACACTTGCACCAGTGGTGGTACCCCTTTTAGGTTAATATATATATATAATATATATATTTATTTATATAATTGTGTATATATATGTATATGTATATATATATTTATATATATTTATATAATTGTGTGTAAATCAGGAAGAATTTAACGTGATAAATCATTTGAAAACGTATAACCGCGAAAGAAAATTACACAATAAGTTACTTTGGTGCTTTTGTGTAAATAAACAGTCAGAAATGTATAACCTTTTCTCTTCCATTTCTTACTCCATCTCTTCATTTCCATACCCTCCCCCTCCCCATTCTTTTCACCCCCTTCTTCATTCATTTCGCCCCCTTCTTCATTCATTTCGCCCCTTCATTCTTTTCACCCCCCTTCTCTTCCCCCAGACGCTTACTGACAGTCTCCTGACCTTTCTCAGCATTCGCTGTGACCTTTCAATGTCTTCATTTCTCCTTTTTTTCTTGCATCATTCCCTTGTTCTTGCTGTTCTCTGCTTCGTTTCTTGCTTCATCCTTGTCATCTCCTCTCCATTTACGTCCCTTGTTTATTTTGCACATCCTTCTCTTTCTTAAGTCTTTGCATTCTTTTCTTGTTGCTTATTTCGTTGTCTTGCTGTTTGTCTGTTGTTTCTTTCTCTGTGAATTGTTTATTCTCCTCCCACTCTAATTCTCTGTTCTTCATCTCTATTTATTTTGGCTCTCATTTATTCACCTTTTGTTTCCTGTTATTCTTGTCATTATCTTCACTCTCTACATCCTTGTGATATCACCACAAAATTTTCTCCAACTATTTGCATCTCTTCCGTCTTTTGTTGTTATAGATTCAGCTACTCGGAACAAGTTCAAAGTAGCACGGGCTATGGTGAGCCCGTAGTGGACTTACCTGGCACAGGAGCGGGGCAAGTAGCACGGGCTATGGTGAGCCCGTAGTGGACTTACCTGGCACAGGAGCGGGGCAAGTAGCACGGGCTATAGTGAGCCCGTAGTGGACTTACCTGGCACAGGAGCGGGGCAAGTAGCACGGGCTACGGTGAGCCCGTAGTGGACTTACCTGGCACAGGAGCGGGGCAAGTAGCACGGGCTATGGTGAGCCCGTAGTGGACTTACCTGGCACAGGAGCGGGGCAAGTAGGACGGGCTATGGTGAGCCCGTAGTGGACTTACCTGGCACAGGAGCGGGGCAAGTAGCACGGGCTATGGTGAGCCCGTAGTGGACTTACCTGGCACAGGAGCGGGGCAAGTAGCACGGGCTATGGTGAGCCCGTAGTGGACTTACCTGGCACAGGAGCGGGGCAAGTAGCACGGGCTATGGTGAGCCCGTAGTGGACTTACCTGGCACAGGAGCGGGGCAAGTAGCACGGGCTATGGTGAGCCCGAAGTGGACTTACCTGGCACAGGAGCGGGGCAAGTAGCACGGGCTATGGTGAGCCCGTAGTGGACTTACCTGGCACAGGAGCGGGGCAAGTAGCACGGGCTATGGTGAGCCCGTAGTGGACTTACCTGGCACAGGAGCGGGGCAAGTAGCACGGACTATGGTGAGCCCGTAGTGGACTTACCTGGCACAGGAGCGGGGCAAGTAGCACGGGCTATGGTGAGCCCGTAGAGGACTTACCTGGCACAGGAGCGGGGGCTGTGGGTATCTCTTCAATCTTTCACATTTTCTTTTCATTAGCTTCCCCTTCCTAGTCCCCTATCCTCCCCCCCCCCACACCCATTAACCCCCCCTTTCTCCCTCTTCCCCCCCCCCCCTCACCCATTTCAGTTCTCCCACACGTCTCCTCTTCCCCCACGACCAGAGGGGGTGCGGCGTACCGATCCCCTTGTGGTTGTAAATACCGAGGGGAAAACCAACTCTGGTTTCCCCTTCAGGCCAACAGCGGTCGTCCCGCGAGGCGTAGCGGCTGTCCTCGTGGTCGCGCGGTGACGGCGCTGGCAACTTAAGGGGTTATAGGCATGAGGCTGCGGCAAGACTTAAGGGGGGACCTAATGGCCATTAGGAAATTGGGAGGAAGGGGGGTAGAAATAGCCTAAGCTACTCTATCCCTTTGAGATGTATTTATTGCTTATCTCAATAAACATACTTGAACTTGAACTTGAATTGGGAGGAAGGAACACTAGAACCACTAGGAACACTAAGAAGTAGATCCTAGTGGTAACGGAATTGTCAAGCAAGTCCAGTTAGACGTTTTGATAATGGTAGGTAATGATTTTATTTTCGGATGTGTGGGTTGGCTAATGTTAGTATAGGCTTGTGTGTGTGTGTGTGTTATGAAGACGTGTTAAAAACGGATCAGCTCCGCTCAACGGTATGATAAACGCACAGGAAACTGTTATTACCTGGTAGTCGCTGTGCCTCTACACCTGTCTCAGGTTGACGAGGGAGGGAGAGGGGGAGGGAGGGGGAGAGGGAGGGGGAGAGGGAGGGAGAGAGAGAGAGAGAGAGAGAGAGAGAGAGAGAGAGAGAGAGAGAGAGAGAGAGAGAGAGGGGGAGGGAGGGAGAGAGGGGGAGGGAGGGAGAGAGGAGGGGAGGGAGAGAAAGAGAGGGGGGAGGGAGAGGGAGAGAAAGGGGGAGAGAGGTGGGGGGGGGGGGCGATCACCTTGTCATGTTCGGCAGGCAGCGAGGGGAGGTGTTTGACTGATGGCTGACAAGTTGGCCTGGGTTGACAGGTTAGGCTGGTTGTTGACGGCGGTACAATTGGTTGATGGTTGACAGGGTTAACCTAGGCTGGTTGTTGACGGGTTGAGTCTTAATGGGTTTGAAAAGATAAGAGTCGATAAGAACGAGAATAGGGATAAAAGTGACGTTAAAAAAATGATTATACAGGATTAATACAATAATACCGTGATCACGCGAGTAGGATTATTAGCGAATCATTGATGATTAATTGCTGAAAATTAAGCCACCCCCAAAGCGGTGGCACGGGCATGAATAGCCCGTAAATCATTGATGCGCTTGAGCGCCAGTCTTGTAAGAAGTTGGAGCGCTCATTGACCTTAATAAGAGTGGACGGTTAACTGGCACCATCTGAAGAGCAATTAGTACGGTGCAATTAAGTGATTAGCAGGTTCAGGCGAGCAGGCAGGGCTGTGGTGGCGCCGAACGTGGACTGGGGAATAGTTTTTGGTGTCCCAGTGACCTAGCTACCTCTCTCTTCTTCCTTCTCTATCTTCTCCTTCATCTTCTCCTTCCTCTCCTTGTTGTTGTATTATGCAGACATATACGTGTGTGTGTGTGTGTGTGTGTGTGTGTGTGTGTGTGTGTGTGTGTGTGTGTGTGTGTGTGTGTGTGTGTGTGTGTGTGTGTGTTTGTGTGTGTGTGTGTGTGTGTGTGTGTTTGTGTGTGTGTGTGTGTGTGTGTGTGTGTGTGTGTGTGTGTGTGTGTGTGTGTGTGTGTGTGTGTGTGTGTGTGTGTGTGTGTGTGTGTGTGTGTGTGTGTGTGTGTGTGTGTGTGTGTGTGTGTGTTTGTGTGTGTGTGTGTGTGTGTGTTTGTGTGTGTGTGTGTTTGTGTGTGTGTGTGTTTGTGTGTGTGTGTGTGTGTTTGTGTGTGTGTGTGTGTGTGTTTGTGTGTGTGTGTGTGTGTGTTTGTGTGTGTGTGTGTGTGTGTGTGTGTGTGTGTGTGTGTGTGTGTTTGTGTTTGTGTGTGTGTGTGTTTGTGTGTGTGTGTGTGTGTGTGTGTGTGTGTGTGTGTGTGTGTGTGTGTTTGTGTGTGTGTGTGTTTGTGTGTGTGTGTGTGTTGTGTGTGTGTGTGTGTGTGTGTGTGTGTGTTTGTGTGTGTGTTTGTGTTTGTGTTTGTGTGTGTTTGTGTGTGTGTTTGTGTGTGTGTGTGTGTGTTTGTGTGTGTGTGTGTGTGTGTCAAGTCACCTAATTGTGCGTGCGGGGGTTGAGCTCTGGCTCTTTGGTCCCGCCTCTCAACCGTCAATCAACAGGTGTACAGGTTCCTGAGCCTACTGGGCTCTATCATATCCACACTTGAAACTGTGTATGGAGTCAGCCTCCACCACATCACTTCCTAATGCATTCCATTTGTCAACCACTCTGACACTAAAAAAGTTCTTTCTAATATCTCTGTGGCTCATTTGGGCACTCAGTTTCCACCTGTGTCCCCTAGTGCGTGTGCCCCTTGTGTTAAATAGCCTGTCTTTATCAACCCTGTCGATTCCCTTGAGAATCTTGAATGTGGTGATCATGTCCCCCCTAACTCTTCTGTCTTGTGTGTGTGTGTGTGTGTAGGGCAGTGTGTGTGTGTGTGTGTGTGTGTGTGTGTGTGTAGGTCAGTGTGTGTGTGACGGGTCCCCCCCATAAGCCGACCACTGTGTAAGACACACACATACAATTTACAGTTATCCATCACTGTATCAAGGATAAACAGTCCAGTTCAGGGGTCTCCTTCTTCGGGGGGATGAATGGGCTACACAAATGTGACCGGTTTCCTTGCCAAAGGATCCACGGACATAACACACTGCTCAGCTAACTGTATTTGTTTGATGTTCATTTAGTAATAATCGACTATTAATAAAATAATTGAAAAGTAGACAGACCCACAGATATTAAGAAGCATTTTAAGATGTTTCGTTAGGAAAGGGCCAAGGAACGTTAGGAACAGGCTAAGGAACGTTAGGAACGGGCCAAGGAACGTTAGGAACGGGCCAAGGAACGTTAGGAACGAGCCAAGGCACGCCAGGAACGAGCCAAGGCACGCCAGGAACGAGCCAAGGCACGCCAGGAACGAGCCAAGGCACGCCAGGAACGAGCCAAGGCACGCCAGGAACGAGCCAAGGCACGCCAGGAACGAGCCAAGGCACGCCAGGAACGAGCCAAGGCACGCCAGGAACGAGCCAAGGCACGCCAGGAACGAGCCAAGGCACGCCAGGAACGAGCCAAGATAAAACCCAGTCATCTCGACCGCTATAAGAATACGGTAAAAACGTGCCGAGGAATGCGGCAGGAATGGTTTTATTGACCTCGGGTAAAAAAATAGAAAATAACTTTTCTTTCTTGTCTCTCATCATTGCTTATTGTGTTGTCCATCAGGAGACGTGACTTTAAAACAAACAGCCGGTGGGGAGCCGGTCGGCCGAGCGGACAGCACGCTGGACTTGTGATCCTGGGTTCGATCCCAGGCGCCGGCGAGAAACAATGAGTTTCTTTCACCCTATGCCCCTGTTACCTAGCAATAAAATAGGTCATACGAACAAATCCACAAGGGCCGTGATGATGATTCGAACCTGCGTCCAGGAGCATCCCAGACACTGCCTTAATCGAAATAGGTACCTGGGTGTTAGTCAGGTGTCACGGGCTGCTTCCTGGGGGTGGAAGCATGATCGAGGAGCGGGCCGCGGGGACACTAAAGCCCCGAAATCATCTCAAGATAACCTCAAGATAACAGGTGTTGAGCGGTGGTGAAGGAGTGTAAGGTGGTGAGTGGTGTGGGATGGTAACTGGACAGTGGTGGTAGAGCGACAGATGGGTTTGTAGACTCTGTGTGGGTCGAGTAGGTTCACTGACTTCTGTCATGCCACTTTCTACAAGAGTATTCTTCCTCTCTTTTTTCCTATCAGTTCCTTCATAGCTTTTTGTTTAATATGTTATATTTTGTTTATTATTTCTGTCTTATCCTCCCCCTTTCTCTCCATCTCCTCCGTTTATCTTCCCTCTTCCGACACGAAGCAACTTTCTCCTGCTTTCTTCATCTCAGTTCGCCCTAATTACCACTTCCTTTCCTTGAAATTGCCAGTTGTTTCTGTCAACGCTTTTATCAGCATATATATTCAGCCCTCATTTGCATGTTAAGATAAAAAGATTTAATGACTGTACGAGAGAGGGAAGGAGGAAGAAGGAACGAGAGAGAGAGAGAGAGAGAGAGAGAGAGAGAGAGAGAGAGAGAGAGAGAGAGAGAGAGAGAGAGAGAGAGAGAGAGAGAGAGAGAGAGAGAGAGAGATAGAGATAGAGATATAGAGATATAGAGAGAGAGATATAGAGATATAGAGAGAGAGATATAGAGATATAGAGAGAGAGATATAGAGATATAGAGAGAGAGATATAGAGATATAGAGATAGATATAGAGATAGATATAGAGACAGATATATAGATAGATAGATATCCTACGTAGAATTATTATTATTATTAACATCTTTATTGACAAAATTTCATTACAATTTTGCCTAATGGCTCTTTAGTGATGGTTGCCGACCAGGAGGCTTGTGTACTCGTGTAGTTCTGCTCGCAGGGGGTTGAGCTGTGGCTCTTTGGTCCCGCCTGTGTGTGCGTGTCCTACTTGTCGAGGCCGGAGAACCTGCCTCGCCTCTCCACCTGGTCGTGTGGAGATGAATCATGACCCGCGGAGGTGGGCAATGTGGGTAGATTTTCTCCCAGTCACTCTGGCATTCCTTTCCCGCGGCTCTTAGCCTCCCCTTCCATCCGCTCTTACTCCCAATCACCCTTTCCGTCATTGGTTCATGTGTATCCTCTTCCTTTCCCATGGTGGGTGGGGGTTGGAGGTTTTTTTTTCCTACCACAGACGTGGCCACACATTTACAATGCTAACCAGCATATATACATTTTCTTCTGTCCTCCATGGACAGGGTTAGAGATGTGTTAAACATATAGTTCAAGGGTTTATTGAACACTCAACCACAGAAGGTGATTCGGTGCTTTTAAAATGCTAAGCTAACCTACATACGTAAATACATAGATACACAGATTTACGTATGCCCTACATAAAGTGTTTGATGTGTCTTTTACATAGTGTCATTAATGTACATTCACAAAGGTGAAATGTAAGACCGGATACCCTGGAGGGTTACCTTACCTTGAGGTTACCTTACCTTGAGGTTATTCCGGGGCTTAGCGACCCCGCGGCCCAGTCGTCGACCAGGCCTCCTGGTTGCTAGACTGGTCAACCAGGCTGTTGGACACGGCTGCTCGCAGCCGTATGGTAGTGGAGCGGGTTACTTCTATCTTGAGATGATTTCGGGGCTTTAGTGTCCCCGCGGCCCGGTCCTCGACCAGGCCTCTCCACCCCCAGGAAGCAGCCCGTGACAGCTGACTAACACCCAGGTACCTATTTTACTGCTAGGTAACAGGGGCATAGGATGAAAGAAACTCTGCCCATTGTTTCTCGCCCGCGCCCGGGATCGAACCCGGGATCACAAGTCCAGCGTGCTGTCCGCTCGGCCGACCGGCTACCTGAAACACAAAGTTCCAAATAGCACGGGCTATGGTGAGCCCGTAGTGGACTAGTGAGTATGGCAACTGTTGTGGTATGTATCCCGTCGATCTCTAGGAGGGACCTGTATAAACCTACCAGGCTTCCTGTCCCCGACAATGGGGGAAGAAAAAGAACCTTTCATAGGCCTACCAAGTCCTGGGGTTCTGGGTTCGATCCCCGAATGAGGCGGAAACAATTGGGCAGTTTTTCTTTCACCCTGATGCTCCTGTTCACCTAGCAGTAAATAGGTCCCTGGGAGTTAGAGAGCTGCTACGGGCTGCTTCCTGGGAGACGTGTAACAGAAAGGAGGCCTGGTCGAGGACCGGGCCGCGGGGACGCTAAGCCCCGAAATGATCTCCAAGATCACCTCAAGATAGAAGGGCGCGACCCACAACAGTTCCCTTGCCTCCCCGGCACCTGTTTGCTGGTATGTAAACAGAGGCATCAAATACCTAATACCATTCTGTCGCGCGCGCGGGAATGGAACCCGGGACCTCTGGGGTGGGAAGAGACGGCACTGATCACTGGGGCTACATCCTTATGCTTTAATGATAAAGCATTTCGGGATTCAACGCCCCCGCGGCCCAGTCCCCGAGCAGGCCGCGGGGGGCCTAGTCTTCTCTCCTAGCCATCTTGCTAGTTGGATTCAACGTTATCTATCCACCTTTCCTTCCTAGCCCTGTGTGTGTCTCATCCACCCAGCTAGCTATCCACGCAGCCATTCATCAACTCATCCCTCTATAAATCCATCAATATTTTCTATCAACCCTTCTAACTTGCCATCCATCCACTTGCCACCTGTTCATCCCCTCCACCACCATCCCCCCACCACCACCACAATCCCCACCACCACCACTACCATCCCACACTATAATATCCTCCTTCCTTTTTTGGTTGCCAAGATTATCACCATCTCGAAGTGCTCTCGACTTTCACCTGGTGTTCTTGTCTAAGACAGCGTTTGATAGGAATGATAACAGTGATGCTAAACGCCTTTTACAAGCCGGGAAGCTGTTGGTAAGTGGTGCTAAGACCGTCAGGTGATTGTGTTGTTTACATGATATTGACACGTGGGTTGATGATGTTGGGTGGTGACAGGTGTATGCCAGGCTTGGTATGGGGCGCATGGCTGGATTTAAGGCGTGTGTATTCACCTAGTTGTGTTTGCGGGGGTTGAGCTTTGCTCTTTCGGCCCGCCTCTCAACTCTCAATCAACTGTTTACTAACTACTACTTTTTCCACACCACACACACACACACACACACCCCAGGAAGCAGCCCGTGACAGCTGACTAACTCCCAGGTACCTATTTACTGCTAGGTAACAGGGGCATTCAGGGGGAAAGAAACTTTGCCCATTTGTTTCTGCCTCGTGCGGGAATCGAACCCGCGCCACAGAATTAAGAGTCCTGCGCACGAGAGATTCTCTTAAGTGGTACAGTTTGGCTCGGTTGTCTCTTATTTTGCTCTCTCTGTCTGTCTCCTCGTCTCTCTCTCTCTCTCTGTCTCCTCGTCTCTCTCTCTCTGTCTCTGCTGTGTGTAAGATTTCTGTGGTGGTGGGGTGAGGATGAGGTGAAACACTTCACTCTGGCACTTGTGTTGGAGAGAGAGAGAGGGAGGCTCTTGCCAGACTTTGGTTTCGACATATTCTTCGGGACGAAGGAGAAGAAGAGGAGGAGGAGGAATAAAGAATAGGATTAAGTTGGTTTAAAGTTAATATTTTCAGGATGAGGAAAATGAAGGAAAGATGTGGTGGTGGAATATCTTCATCGCCTCATTATTTTCTTACGGGCTATTCATGCCCGTGCCACCTCTTGGGTGGCTTAATCTTTATCAATCAATCAATCCTTATTTTCTTACCTTATTCGTTACTCTCGCCTCTCATTATCCCTCGCATTCCTTATTCCCTTGTTCTGCCTTATTTCTCCACATCCTTCTCTGCCTCCTCCTCCCCCCCCCCCCCCCCCCCTCCTCCTCCCCCCCCCCCCCCCCCCGCCCCCTCCTGCCTCTCCGTAAAATTTACGACCACTTTAAGAGTGCAATCCTAATTTTTCGTTCTTTTTCTATTCCTGGTTCTTTTTTTATTTTTCCATTTCTATAATTTTGTTTTCTCCTTTGTGAAGCACGAATAGCTTCGTGGTCACAAGGGCCGCGTGTCCTGTCATCTGTGTCTCGTTTATAGGTAAATTGTAATTAATCTGTCAATAAAGATATTAATAATAAATCTAGTTTATACCTCGGGTCCCTAATTTCCTCCCTTCAATCTTCTGTCCCGTTTCTGTCCTATATGTGTTTATTTCTTCCCCTTTTTCCCTATTTCCCTCTCTACGCTTCCGCCTAGTATTTTCGCTTCCCGTCTCACCCCTCACCAGTTTCCCCTCTAATACTTCCCTGCCTTAACAGCCCTTTTCTAATCCCTGAGCAGTTCCCCTCTTTCTACACGCTATATATAGTCACTTGGCGTCTTCCGCCTGTGGGAGCGTGACCCAGGTGGGCATTTTTCCCCTCGTGTTGACCTTTTGACCCCGTAACTCCTCTCCCCTCTCCTCGTCCCTCTCTTGAGAGCGGCTGTGAGGAGAGAAAGGGGGGGTGGGGAAGAGGGAGAAAGAGGGGGAGGGAGAGAGAAAGAGGGGAGGAGAGAAAGAGGGAAAAAGAGAAAGGGGGAGAGAGAGAAAGAGGGGAAGAGAGAGAAAAGGGGGGAGAGAAAGAGG